TGAGCTATTTTTCTCCCCCAGCTTCTTGCCTTTCTGCCACCTCTTCTGGTCTCTCCTCTTCTTCGTTCTCTTTCTCTCCTCCACTTCCCTCCATCTCTCTCTTTCTGTTCTTCTCTCCCTAAATCTCTACAGCTTTCTCTCTTCCGTGCTGACTTTGCCCCTTCTCTTTCTCGTGCCATCTATGTGTGCTCAAATCCCTCCTCCCTTTTCCTTCTCTGACCATTTTGTGCCTGACTGCGGAGCCGGCTGGTCGCGCGTCAGGCTGCATCTCTCCTCCTGCCTCTCTTGGTCAGGAAGGGAGGACGAGGAGGAAAGCTGTTAAATGTTTCTCGTTTGGCCCCTCTCTGGGCTGGAAAATTGCAGGAGCGGGAGTTTCTCTTTTCCCAGGAGCTGGACAGTGTCTGAGCTCCGCAGCCCTCATTTGTCCTTGGCAGCGTGTGCCCAAAATTGCACCTCCTCCCCCTCCCCCGAGCCTGCCTGCCACACCGGTCTGTGTCCAGGCCAGGGCTAATGCACCGCTCCATTGCTGCAGGCCTGCTCTGAAGGGTGCTGAGCACACGCTGGAGCTCTGCACAGCTGGATAACACCTGGGAGGACCCACCTGCACAGCACCCGCGCCCAGCAAACGCTGTCGCCGGGGTGGGGAGCCCGGGGACCACATCAGGCAGCAGCTCTCGTGGAAGCTGGGAAGAGACATCCCTGGCTGCAGGTAAAATACAAGTTTGGGGGGACATTGCATTTAGTAGCACCTTATCGTCTGGTAGGCGCTCCTACACTTGCTTAATCGTTCGTTCCTATCAAGGAGAAGGCAGAAACAGAGCATCTAGTATCTCTGAGAACCAAAAATCTTAAGATCTGGTCTGAATTTACCCGCTTTGCCTTTTTAAAAATAGACGATCCTCCGACATGTTACCCCCCACCCCTCTTCCATGCTCTTGCAAAAGACCTCTAGATCTTAACAGATTGAAATGTTTCACAGTTCCCTAAGCACTTGTGGGTGAATTTCTTCACCTCTTGTCTAACTTCTCTGATATTATTTAACCTTTTCTTTCCTGGTTCTGGCCTGCTCCCTTGTTTCCTTGTTAACAATCTTATCACAGATCTGATCCCAGCTAACCTCAAGTGTGAAGGAGGATGCAAAAATGGGACTATGACTACCTCAGCTTTCTCCAGACCATCTGGAGAAAGTATATTGAGCATTTCTAACCACAGTTGCTCTTCCAGCACCTTCAGAACCTGCTGTTGAGATTTTGGCTGCACTTCTCCTTCAACTTTTAATTTATGCCTTCTCTTTCCAGGTTGGGGCACCCTCCCAGGAATCCTCTTCCCCAGGTCCCATGGATGGCCAGGAGGAGCTAATGTCTTTTTCATGGTTGCTCCCCACGAATATTTGTTTTCTTCCCAGTTTTTCCCTTTCTGTAGCCCTTCCGTGTGGCTGTCTCTCTCTGGTCATGGAACCCCAGCCTTGGGGACGAGTGTCCATGGGCTCCACTTCCGTTGCTTCGGGGATCTCTAAGTGGTAGTTGATCTGAAACTGGACTGAAGGGGGAACCAAAAAGTCTTCATTGCTCTGTGGCAATTCCTCCAGGGCAGATGGGTTTCCATCATCAGTACATAACTGGAAATAGTGATACTGAAAACCATACATTTTCTTTTCCTTTCTTTTTTCTTTTCTCTCTTTTCCTTTCTTTTCTTTTAATTATGTTGAAGCTCTATATACATGAGGATACATGTCTACTATTGGTATAAAGAGCTGCTCCATGTAGATCATTGCAGCTGTACCTGCGTTGTACCGTTGTGAAGAAAATGATGCCTTTCCTGTCCCATTTCTTGTGCTTTGAGGGAGCCCATCAGAGCAGGGTCAAGTCACTTCACAGACTCCTGCTGCAGATGAAGTGAGAAAACCCAGAAAATCACTCCTGGGCCTTATCAGCGTAGATGTCCCTCAGCATCAGGAGAAGAGCTCCTCAGGGCCGCTCACTCAGCCCACCCAGTGCTGTCTGGAAAGTAAGTGCTTCCTAGGTCAGGGTGGCCGCACATGGAGCCCGGGGACATTTCTGAGGTACAGAGGAACTTGCTACAATGGCCCTGCAGCGAACAGAAATTGTCAAACAAGTCACTGAGATGTGGCGGTGCTCACAGCACAACTGCTGTCCTGACTGGCCCTTCTGCAGCAAGGCAAGGGGGAAAGGGGCTGGACCTTCACCCTTCTTCACCTGAAGAGCTGGTGTCTTCCAGGGCAATGTAAAGCAGAAAGAGGGAGGCTCACACTGATACCCGTTTCGGTGTAAACAGAGCTCTGGTCTCCAAGATTGCACTTCCTTGAGAGCAAATGCCTGGTGTTCAGGGAACACCTCCCTGGCAGGCATGTGACATGCTGCTTGTCCCTTCCCTTCCATCTTCTCCTTTTGCCCTCTTCCTAATGGGGAATGTTCACTTTTGCATAGGTAGCACTGGCATTCTCCTCCCTTGATTTTTGCCAGGATTTTATTTCAGCGTAAACAACTTCTGAAGCAGGTTTTGTCTCCTTCTTCTCAAAGTTCAGGTCAGCATAAGTCACCTCATCGGTTTGAGATGCCAGGGGAGGCTGCAGAGGAAGAGGGTGGTGAGCGGAGCCTGGGCTGTCAGTTCTGCGTGTGCCAAGCTATCTGGACCAAATGAGTGCTGAGGGCCTGCCTTTGATTGACATGACTGGTGATAACAGGAGAATGTCCTGCCAATCCTGAAACACCAGAGGCTGCATCTCTGGCATCTCTGCAGTTTGAAGTGGGGGATGCATTTGATCAGATATCTTTCTGGCTCTTCACACACAGGCCGTAGGAACAAGCCCTAGCCAGGCAGAGGCCAGGCTCCCTAACCCCATCTCGGGGTTGTGTGCACTCCAAACCCTGGCTCCTGCCCTACAGGGACATGGCTCTTGTCACCTCACTGCCACCAAACAGACACAGGCAGTAAAGGTGGAGGGAGCAGGGCCCTCCATGTCACCAGCATCCATGATAGCAGCCATGCAGGGCAATCTCTACTGTTCCCTGGGTGCTTTCTGCTCTGCCCATCATTTTCCCATCCTCTTTGGTGCCCCAAGAGAAACCCACTCCCCCAGCTCCCATGTACCATTTCCTCCCCTCTTTATTTTCACCTCAATACTTCCACTAATCCCTCCCATCTTCTAGGACAGACAGGGAGCCAGATCCTACATCTGCTCTTCTTTGAATGCAGCACCCCTCCTTCACCACATTACGTGAACC